GAGCTGACGCAGGCTGAACTGAACTGAACTGAACGCATGGACCCGGAGACGATATCCATACGGAGGACCGCGCGTGGCCCAGGGGGGGTTGCACGATGGATTGGGGAGGGATGGGGGGGGAGGGAGCGGATGGGGAGGAAGGGGAGAGGGCGACGGGTCGTCAAACCAGGGGGGTCCGAGCGCGGGTCGACGGCGTCGGGGCCCCCACTGACGATCGGAGCGTCGATGCCGTTGTTTCGAAGCTCCCGTCGGCGTGGGTGCGGGCTCGATCTCTTGAAAGTCGGGACAGCTGCGCGGCCGCGAGAGAGCTCGGACGAATAACTGAGGTGTCGGCCCATCGGGTCATCGTGAAAAAAAAAAAAAAAAAAAAAAAAAAAAAAAAATAAAAAAAAAAAAAAAAAAAAAAAAAAAAAAAAAAAAAAAAAAGCAAAAAAAAAAAAAAAAAAAAAAAAAAAAAAAAAAAAAAAAAAAAAAAAAAAAAAAAAAAAAAAAAAAAAAAAAAAAAAAAAAAAAAAAAAAACACAAAAAAAAAAAAAAAAAAAAAAAAAAAAAAAAAAAAAAAAAAAAAAAAAAAAAAAAAAAAAAAAAAAAAAAAAAAAAAAAAAAAAAAAAAAAAAAAAAAAAAAAAAAAAAAAAAAAAAAATAAAAAAAAAAAAAACAAAAAAAAAAAAAGAAAAAAAAACAAAAAAAAAAAAAAAAAAAAAAAAAAAAAAAAAAAACAAAAAAAAAAAGAAAAACAAAAAAAAAAAGAAAAAAAAAAAAAAAAAAAAAAAAAAAAAAAAAAAAAAACAAAAAAAAAAAAAAAAAAAACACGCCTCTCGTCTGCTCGCGGGTCGCTTTCCTCCGTCTGACCAGCCTTCTCCCCCTCGTCTGCCTCATCTTTCCGAGTATAAGTTCCTCCAGCTTGTTCTCCCCTCTCTCCCCCTTCGCCCTACCCTTGTGATGTTGTCCCTCCACTTTCTCCCTGGGGCCCTTCCGCCTCCATCACCCTCCTCGCTCCTCTTTCCTGGGCCCTCCGCTGCATCCCCCCCCCACCTTCGCATCCTCCCCCTCCTCCTCTTTCTCATCCTCTTTCTCTGCGTTCTCCTCCTCGGGGAGGTGGATATGTGATGACCCCATCATCTTGTGTCAAGCTGCTTGCCGCAGCACGGCCACATGTGGGCTCTCGCTGCGCTGGCCCCAGCGCTGCATGCGAGCAGCGCCCCAGAATCCCACCAGCCCGTTGGGCGTAGGTGGTCTGGGGGGCCTCCTCTTCCAATCCCCTCCTTCTCCTTCGGGGAGGGGCTTGCCCCTCCCCCACCCTCCCCCCTGGACCTGGACAGGGGATTTCGCTGGCACTTGGAGCGTTCAAGATGGCCCAACACTGGCCCAAGAGCGCCTCGGAAGGGCCCAAGATGAGTTCCAAGATGGCTCAAGATAGCTCAACAAGCCTCAAGATGGCTCCCAAGACGCTCCAAGAGGTCCTCAACCCGCTCAAAGACAGCTCCAAGAGGCTTCCGAGACCGTCAAGGAGGCTTCCAAGAAGCCCAAATCCTTCAAACACCTGAGGAACATGAATGATGTTTGCATCGTCGCCCGTTCGGTCTCGATAGCTTTCCGAGGCCTCAAGCTGGCTCCAAGATGGCCCATGAAGGCCCCAAGAGAGGCCCAGGAGAGCCCCAAGGCTGCCCCAAGAGCGACCAGGCGCGTTCCAAGAACGCCCCAGGAGCGCCCCAAGAGACAATGTGTGGGGCTCCCGAGGGGCAGCCCTAATTTGCGAACCCATCTTGTTGTATCGGTGTCCTCGAACAGCGTCCCCAATGCTCCCAAGAGCGCCCCAAGAGGGCCCCAAGAGGCGCCCAGACGGCCCCGAGAGGCGCCCAAGAGGCACCCGAAACAGCTCCCTAGAGGCACCCGAGAGGCTTCACGAGGATTTCCGAGGTACCCAAGATGCACCTAGACGTTCCAAGAGGGCTAAAAAAAGCCTGGCGAAGGACATAACCACAGATATCGTATTCGGTGGGGCTCCCTATGGGGCCACGAAGCATTGCACTGGGCGGGGGAGACGCATGCGAAGTTTGCCATTGGGGCATTCGGTTGAGCCCCCCGTGGGCCACGAAACGTTGTGGTGGGTGGGGGGGACGCATGCGGACTTTGCCCGTGGGACATTCGTTGGAGCTCCTTATGTGCCACGAGACGTTGTATTGGGTGGGGGGGGGGGGCGCATGCGGACTTTGCCGCTGGGGCCTGAATTCGGCGGAGCCCTCTATGGGGCCACGAAACGTTGTGCTGTGTGCGGGGAACGCATGTGTACTTTACCACTGGGGCATTCGATGGGGCTCTCATGGGGCCACGAATCGGTGGAGCTCCCTATGGAGCCGCGAAACGCTGTACTGGGTGGTGTGTGACGCGCGCGGGCGGTCCCACTGGGACCTCCGGTGGGGCCCCCTGTGGGGCCACGTTCGACGCGCTGTACTTGGTGCGCGGGACGCCTGAGGGCGGTCCCATTGGGACTTTCGGTGGGGCTCCCTGCGGGGCCACGAAACGCTGTACTGGGAGGGGGCGACGCACGCAGGCCGTGCGACTGGGACCTTCGGTGGGGCTCCCTGTGGGCCACGAAGCGTTGCACTGGGTGTGCGAACGCAAGCGGGCGGTGATAGTTGGACCTTCGGTTGATCCCCTTGTGGGGCCACGAAACGCTGTACTGGGCGTGCGGGGCGCATGCGGGCGGTCACACTGGGGCCGTCGGTTGATCTCCCTATGGTGCCACGAAGCGTTGTAATGGGTGATGCGTGGCGCATGCGGGCGGTCCCACTGGGTCCGTCGGTGGGTTCCCCTATTTGGGGACACGGAACGCTGTGCTGGGTGGCGCTTGGCGCATGCGGGCGGTGCCGCGAAGGCCGTCTGTAGAGCTCCCCATGGGCCACGAGACCTTGTACTGGGTGGTGCGTGGCGCATGCGGGTGGTCCCATTGGGACCTTCGGTGGGGCTCTCTATAGGGTCACGAATCGTTGCACTGGTTGGTGCGTGACGCATGCGGGCGGTGGCGCTGGCGCCGTCGGTGGATCTCCGCATGGGGCCACGAAGCGGTGTACTGGGTGGTGCGTAGCGCATGCGGGCGCCCCCACTGGGGCCGTCGGTGGAGCTCCGCATGAGGCCACGAAGCGCTGTACTGTGTGGTCCGTTACGCATGCGGGCGGTCCCATTGGGGCCTTCGGTGTAGCTCCCTATATAGAGCCACGAAACGCTGTACTGGGTGGTGCGTGACGCATGCGGGCGGTGCCACTGGGGCTTTCGGTCGAGCTCCCTATGGAGCTACGAATGGCTGTATTGGGTGTGCGTGGCGCATGCGGGCGGTCTCATTGGGACCTTCGGTGGAACTCCCTATGGGGCCACGAAACGCTCCACGGGGTGGTGCGTGACGCATGCAGGCGGTGCTGCTGGGACCTTCGGTGGATCTCCTTATGGGGCCACGAAACGCTGTGCTGGGTGGTGCGCGACGCATGCGGACGGTCCCACTGGGGCCGTCGGTTGATCTCCCTGTGGGGCCGCGAAGCGCTGTACTGGGTGGTGCGTGACGCATGCGGGCGGTCTCACTGGGACCATCGGAGGAGCTCCCTATGGGGCCCCGAAACATATGAAGGGTGTGCTGAACGGGCGATGTTGCTAATGATGGTGATTGAGGGGGGAGGGGGGGGATGAAGGAAGGAAGAGGCGCGGGGGCCGTCCGTTCAAAACGAGGGCCCAACGCCACAGAATGGTTGGGAACAAGAGACATCCGAGGAGGCTCTTCTGATCGTAATGTGTTTTCCCTACCTAGGCTCTGCCTAGAAGGGTTCTTACTCTCTTAGCTTAAAGGGGCCGGGCAGTGGAAAGCGCCCCGGGCGGTTCCCCCAGTCCCCTGGGAGCGGTTCCCCCCAGTCCCCTGGGAGCTTTAGCTTTAGCTTTTAGCTTAGCTTTAGCTTAGCTGTAGCTTAGCTTAAGCTTAGCGTTTCGCTTAGCTTTTCGTTTAGAGCTTAGCTTAGATTTAGCTTAGCTTTAGCTCAGCTTGAGCTTAGCTTGAGCTTAGCTGCAGCTTAGCTTTAGCTTAGCTTTAGCTTAGCTTTGGCTTAGCTGTAGCTTAGCTGTAGCTTAGCTTTAGCTTAGTTTTAGCTTAGCTTTAGCTTAGCTGTAGCTTAGCTGTTGCTCCAATTTAGCTTAGCTTTAGTTTAGCTTTAGCTTAGCTTCAGCTTAGTTTTAGCTTAGCTGTGGCTTAGCTTTAGCTTAGCTTTAGTTTAGCTTTAGCTTAGCTTTAGCTTAGCTGTGGCTTAGCTTTAGCTTAGCTTTAGCTTAGCTTTAGCTTAGCTTTAGCTTAGCAGTAGCTTAGCGTTAGCTTAGCGTTACTGTTACTACAAATGCTGCTTTCCTAGGGGTTCCAACTCCTAGGTAGGGTCGCACTTGGATAATTTCCTCCTCCTCCTCCTCCTCCTCCTCTCTCTTTACTCTCCCCCGCCTCCTCCTCCTCCTCCTCCTCCTCCTCCTCCTCCTCCTCATCATCATCATCATCATCATCATCATCATCCCCCCTTGCACTTCCAAGAAACCAGAGGAGACTCCGAGAGTCACTCAAAAGGCTTATGGCTCTTCTGTTCGCCCTCTTTCTTCCTCCTCCTCCTTCGTCGTCGTCATCGGCGTCGTCTTCGTGGTCGTCGTCTTCGTCGTCGTCGGGTGCGTCGTCATTGTCGTGGTCATCGCCGTCGTCGTCGTCGTCGTCGTCGTCGTTATCGCTTTCTTCCTCTCTCGCCCCACCGCCTTCTCTTTCTCCTCCTTCGCCCCATCCTCCTCCCACTCCTCCCACAAGGAAGAAGTAAAAGGAAGCAAGTAGGAATTAGGAGCAACGAGAGGAGATAGGCGAGGGCATGAGGAGGTAAGCGCGAAAGCCACGACATTCGGTAGGGCTCAGTAAAAGTAGCTGTTTCGGGATGGGCTGGTGGGGATACGCGAAGCGTCGAGAATTTAAAACTGAGCTGCCGTGCGCTCACTCGCCCGCTGCCGCAGGCTCGTCCGGCGCCGCAGGCTCGTCCGGCGCCGCAGCCACAGGCGCCGCCGCAGCCGCCTCCACAGGCGCCGCCGCAGCCGCAGCCGCCTCCTCGTCGAAGTCCTCCAGCTGCGTGTCGAAGTCCTCCAGCTGCGTCGAAGTCCTCCAGCTCGAGAGCTCGTCCTTCTTATCATTCTCATTGACGCTCTCTGGGCCCTCGTCCTTCTCAATTTCCTTGTCGTTCCCGGGGGCATCGTCGTCATCGCTCTCCTTCTTGTTCTCCTTCTCGCCCTCGGCCTTGCCACCTTTTGCCTTCTTGCCCTTGCCGCCAGACTTGCCGCCCTTGGACTTCTTTTTCCCCTTGCCGCCAGATTTGCCGCCCTTGGACTTCTTGTCCTTCCCCTCGGGAGGATCGTCCGAACTGGCGCCCTCATCTGCATCTTTGGGCACATCATGAGCTTTGATCATCTTCTGCATGAGCTTGTTGGCGTGCTGCACCGTCCCGATCAGGGTGTCTGAGACGGGGGCTCTGGCGTTTGAGAATTTCGTCCACACTTGCCTCGTGCCGTGGCGGATTGCGCACTCCCACCCGTCGATCTTCGGCCTAGGGCTGATCAGCACCTGCGGCTGCCAAATCGACGGGACTTAAGGGGGGCGACTAAGTCGACGACGCGGTCAAAGATGAGGAGCAGGGGGGTGCCCTCCAGATCCTCCTTTCCTTTGTCCACGTCGGCGTACGAGTACGAGTGCGAGCAGTGCTGGACCTAAAAGCTGTTTTGCTGCATTTCGGCTGCGTTTTGTTTCTCGTTTTGGCAGGGGGGCGCAGGACAACAGGTAGGACAAAACGAACAACAAAACGACAACAACACGAACACAACGTTTAGGTCCAGCCCTGAATACGAGAACGAGGGTGGAGGCAGGCGAGTGCTTGCACGCGCCGTTGGACCTTCCACGAGCCGCTCCTCTCACAGACCTGCCTGCACGTCTCGATGCTGTTCTCGTCCTCCACGGCGACGCCCGCATCCTTGTCGCCATCGTCGGACACCTTGAGCTTCTTGCCTGCGACCTGCAGGTGGTCCATGCTCGAACCAGCAGACGCCCTCTTGCCGCTCAGTCTGCACCAGCGGGCCTCAGACACGTAGTCGGACTTGTCCACGCCTGCAGTCAGGTCCACGCTCTCGGACGCCGTCTCGCCACAGTCGTCGGCAGCGTTCTTCTTGCCCTTGCCTTTGTCGGCCTTGCCCTTGCCGTTGTCGGACTTGTCCTCGCCCTTGCCGTTGTCTGCCTTGCCAGCGCTCGGGGGGCCCTTGTCGGCAGCGTTCTTCTTGCCCTTGCCTTTGTCGGCCTTGCCCTTGCCGTTGTCGGACTTGTCCTCGCCCTTGCCGTTGTCTGCCTTGCCAGTGCTCGGGGGGCCGTTGTCGGCCTTGCCCTTGGAGCCCCTGCTGGACTTGCCCTTGCCAGACTTGCCCCTGCTCTTGCCCTTGCCCTTGCCGCTGCCCTTCCCCGCCCTCGCCGGAGTCGCTACGTGCTGGACGGCAGCCGCATCAGCCGCACCGGCTGGGTTCTTCACCTCGTCGTGCGAGACCCCCTCGGCGAGCCACCTGTCCCCGTCAGACCAGACGAAAACTGCGACCCCAGCTGTTGACGAGACGACCTCGTCCGCCCAGTTGTCATCGCATGTCCGTTTTGCCCACCCGTCCACCATCTTGAAGTCCACGTCCGTGATATCTTCGGTCCAGTACGCCTCCTCGATCTTCGACCAGCTCGAGCCCTCGCCGCCATCCTGGCGGGGCTCCTCGGCCACGTCCCACTCGGACTCGTCTGACACGTCCTCCAGGGGCTCGTGCTCGCCTGCTTCGTCGTCGTCGTCGTTCCCCCTCGCCGTTTTCCTCCAGCCAGCCTCCTCTTCCTCCTCCTCCTCCTCCTCGGAGCTGCCCACCCTATGGCCCTCTCCCTCATCTCCACCTCCCCATTTCCGCTTTCCTCCTCTTCCCTCCCCTCGCTCTTCTCAGTGTCCTCTTCCTCCTTTCCCCTCATCTCCCTCGGCCCCGCCAGGGGTGCCTTTGGGCCAGATTTTCGAGGTGGTCCCAGCCGCGGCCACAAGGTGCTTCCTGGAGAACCCGAAAAGGGCGAAAAAAGTCCAGAAGCTTCTCGAACCTCGAAGTTCGAACCTCGATCGAAAAATCGCCCCCCCTGCTCCTCCTTCTCCTCCTCCTTCTCCTCCTCCTTCCCCTCCTTCCTCCTCCTCCTTTTCCTCGTCCTGCTCCTGCTCCTGCTCCTGCTCCTGCTCCTGCTCTCCTCCTCCTCCTCCTCCTCCTCCTCCTCCTCCTCTTCCTCCTCCTCCTCCCCCTCCTCTCGTCGTCGTCACCTGCGTCGGGGTCGGTGAGCGACTCCAGGGACTCGTCGCTGCTCGAAGAGTCCCTGAAGAAGTCGCGGGCGAGCAACCGTGGGCCAGGCATCATCTCGCGCCGGAGGTCGTCGGGGATGGCGTAATTGTTCCTGGCGGGGCTCCCTCCTCCATACTCCTCCTCCTCCTCCTCCTTCTTCTCCTCCTCCTCCTCCTCCTCATCATCATCATCATCATCATCATAATCTTCTTCATCATCATCATCATCATCATCCTCATCCTTCTTCACCTCCTCCTCCTCCTCCTTCTCCTCCTCCTCCTCCTCCTCCATCACCTTCTCCTTCTTCTCCTCCTACTTCTCCTTCTCCTGGATACTCCTCCTCCTCCTCCTCTTCCTCTTCCTTCTCTGCATCCTCTGCCTCTTCCTCGTCCTTCTGCTCCTCTGCCTCCTCATCCTCCTCCCCCTAGTCGTCATTGTTGTCGCCCTCCTCCTCCTCCTGCACCTCCCCCCCCTCCTCATTTTGCTCCTCGTCGTCGTCCTCCTCCTCCTCCTCCTATCCTCCTCCTCATTATCCCCCTCTCCTCCTATCCCCCTCCTCGTCCTTCTCTCCTCTCTCCTCATCCTCCTCATCCATCCCATCCCCCCCCTGATCGATCGTCCCCCTTTTTTCTCATCTACCCCTCTGCCCCCCCCGATCATTATCCGAGAAATACCCCTCCATTCCCATCATGAACACTCACCCTTCCCCCCCTCTTCGTTGAGGGGGAGGGCCATCCCTCTCCTCGTCCCAGGTGGACGTTTGTTCCCCAGGGTCCGAACGACACGGCGCCATCCGGCCAGCAGGTCGACGATCTTCTTGGCCTCCCTGCACGCGTGCCGCGCGTCGCAGTCCAGCACCGATGGGGAAAGGCAGGAGGAGGATGGGGGAGGAACATGGGGGAGAATGCGGGCAGTAAAAAGAAGGAGGGAGAAGGGAGGATGGGCGAGGAAGAGGAGGTCCAGGAGGAGGAGGAGCAGGAGGAGAGGAGGAGGAGGCGGAGGAGGAGGAGGAGGACCAGCAGGAGGAGGAAGAGGAGGAGGAGGGGCAGGAGGAGGAGCAGGAGGGGGAAGAGGGGAGGATGCGGAGGAGGAAACAGATAAGTAGCACCTTGAATACAGCCCGTTCAACCTCGGGAACCTCGAAGATCATGTCCTCCTTGAGGTTCGCCAGCTTGCGCAGGGGCCGATGCCAGCCGCTCCTACGGGAGCGGGGTCACCCTCTCGACTCTCACCCCCCCTCCGTTTTCATTGGTGATCGGCCATCCTGCTCCTCGCCATCTTGCTCAGCCTCCTCCCCTCCTCCCGTCGTCGTCGTCCCCCTGCTGCTCCTGTTTTTTCTCCCGGTCATCCTCCGACTGCTTTTAATGCATCACGCATCCTCCCGCATCCTCTTCATTCTCCCCCTTCCCTCCCTTTAGGCCTCATCATCCTCCTTCTTTCCTTCATCCTCACATTCATACTTCGAGTCTGGCTCCTCATGATGAACTCGCCCAGGCCACGCACGCGCTTCGAGCCGTGCGTGTCCCAGTTGCACAGCACGAAAGTCATCTTCCGATGGTCCTTGAGGAATGAGGGGGAGGCTTCGAAGGTGGAGCGGGAAGGGAGCGAGGAGGACGATGGGGAAGATGAGCGAGAAGAGAAGGAGGATGGTCCGACGGCAGCGGAAGCAGCCGCAGCGCCGACGCAATCTGCTCGACGAACATCTGCTCGGAAGAAGCCGCAGCGCCGGCGCTCTCCTCAATATACTTCTGAGCCAAAACGGCTGTCTGGAGACGAGGAGTAGCTCCACAGGTTTCGCCATTTTACCTATACGACCACCCTTCGGGTGATAAGGAGGTTCGGGGGGGAGCAACCAACTTCTCACTCACTATCGATATCACCCGATCGGTTTTACTATCAATATCCCTATCGATCTCACTATCGATTTCATCATCGATCACACTCGATCGGTTTCATAGGATCGTCTCACTCGACCGATCTTACTCGATCAATCCCGCTATCGATCTCACCATTGCTCTTACAAGCGACACCACTAGTGATCTCACGATGTATCTCACAATTGTCACAATCGATTTCACTCAATGGACCTCACCATCGATTTCACTGTTTCTCTTAGTATCGATCCCACACACAATACCACTATCGATATTGCAATCGTTGCTCCTATCCCTCTCACAATCGATGTCACCATTGATCTCACTATCGATCTCACTATATATATATACCACGTTAGAATGTACAATCGATCTCTCTATCGATCTTTTCATCGGTCTCACGATCGATCTCACTATCGATCCCATTATCGATCTCGCGAAACATCACGGAACACCGTCACGAGCCACGATCACGAGACAGCACCACGAGACACCACCACGATACTTCATCACGAGACACCATCCCGCGACACCACTATGAGACACCACCACGAGACACCACGAGGCACCGCAAGACACCGCGAGCACCACGAGAAACCACGAAAGCGAGATGCCGCGAGACAGATGAAGCCTCAACCGAACCGAGCAATTTGTTGCGCCACAGGTTGCGCCATTATAGCCATAGGTTGCGCCATGGCGGCACCCACAGGCGATATCTCGGCGGACCCGTTCAAGGAGAATTGAAGCTCGAGGAGGCGGAGGGAGACGAGAAGGAGGAGGAGGAGGCCCCCCCGGAGAGTGAGTGGCGTCCCGCCTCACCCCAGCGGAGTCGACTCTTCACACCTCCTGGCTCTTCCCTGTCCTTCCTCCCCCCCGCCTCCTCCGTCGATCCCTCCTCCATCCTCCTTCTCCCTCCCTCTCTTCTCCCTACGGCTTCCCTCCATCACTATCCCCAAACACTGCTTGCACTAATTCATGGCTCGTGCCTGCTGCTCTAAGGATTTGGGTGGGTCGGCCGAGGTTTCGCTTGGCGGGCATCTTTTCGACCCCCCCTCCCTCCCTCGACCTCCAACTCTTCCTGCCCACTGGCCCCCTCCCGTCCCTCGCCCTCCTGTCGTAGCGGATCCATATCCCTTTCCTCCTTCTCCTCCCTCTCCCTCACCCTGGGAGCATCATCATCATCATCAGCATCATCATCATTATTAACATCATCATCGCCATCATGATCATCATCGCCATCACCATCATCACCAACATCAGCATCCGCATCACCAACAACATCAGCATCATCATCAACAGCATCATCAGCATCTTCATCATCACTACCAGCATGATAATCTGCATCATCATCATCATCTCACCACCCTCATCAACATCATCATCATCATCATCATCATCATCATCATCATCATCATCAGCATCATCATCATCATCACCACCACCACCACCACCACGCCACCACATCACCACCACCATCACCACCACCACCACCACCACCATCATTCACCCTCCGCATGGCGCTCGAGCAGCCTGGGCTCCTCCCGCGGCCGCCATGGCGGCCATGATCGATTCGCCCGCGCTCCATGTGGTGCGCCCCACAAAGGCCGCGCGCGGCCAGGCGGCCGTCCCTTGGAGTCGGCCAGGGGCGTGGCCTGCAGGCGCCGCGGCGAGATTGTCGCTCCCCGATTGCCCTGGCAATCGGGACTGGAAGCGGCGGCGCGGCGCGCGAGCTTTGGGAGTGGGCTTGGCTGGGGCAGGCCTGCGGCGCCAACCCGCGGCCCCTTGCGTGGTCTCTGGGACCACGGTGTGGCCGCGGGCTTGGTGGGCGCCCATGTTGGTCGAACTGCCGCTGCCCGACATACAGCCGCTGGATTCGTGGTATTTCGTTGCGTGGCAGGACCACCTGGTGCCTGCCACGTGGTGGGTCCCGCTGTACAGCGATGCGGGAGGAGGTGGACCCAGCCGTCATCGCGACGGTCTGGCGCGACCCCGACGGGCACAACGTACCGCGCCCGTAAACAAAACCCAACACCGCTCATACCTCACACGTTTCGCGCCCCAAAGCTAGGCCACCAAAAGCGTTGCACCCCAGGTGCTGGAGGAGGGAGTCGCAGCGGTGCGCGGCGTTTGAGGACCCAATCGTTGTGCCGCCAGCATCCGTAACGATCACCAACCATCAATAGTCATCACCAACAACCATCACCAACTACCATTAACAACCATCAACAGCCATCACAGAACAAAAAAGGACAAAAAGAGACAAAAAGAGACATTGCGACATGAAAAGAGACAAAAAGAGACAAAAAAAGACAAAAAGAGACAAAAGAGACACATTTGCAACTGCGCGCGCCTCCTGGAAGGTATGGAAGGTTGGAGGGCCAGGGGTGCTGGGACCCCGGGGGGCGGCTGGACGCCGATCTTTTTGGGCCCCCTGGGGCCCGAGCATGTTCGTACCCACCGCCTGCCCAGGTCCTCGAGGATCGACTCCCAGCGGTGGTTCCCAGTTAACATCCCGCCTCGGCCGACCCCAACGTTGCCCCCGACTCGGCGGCGCGCAGAGGGGGGGAAGTGAGAGGGGCAGGCCTCCTCAGAAGGCGGCGTGGCTCCTCGAAGGCACACGGCCTTCTGCGAAGCCACCTGTGGCTTCGGAGTCGTCACTGCACCGACCTCGCAGACGTGCTGCAGCGGATTCTTGCGTGGATCCCTGTCAATGCAAAGCCCCGAAACGGCGAGGGAAAAACGGAGTGGACTTCGCATGGATGTTTGTTTCGTCTTCATCCCTGGCAATAACAAATCCGCGCGAAACTCACCTCGAAGACCGGAACGGAATCCTCCAGGACTCCCCGGGCCCGTCCTCTCGTTTTCCGAGCGCACTCCGCCCTGCGATGTCGGCGCCATGAGAGGCACGGCACGGGCGTGCTCTGAGCAGGCCTGCCCCCCCGGCCTCCCCCCCCTGGGCGCGCCGCCGCTTGGAATCGGCGATGCATCGCCGACAGCTGGGCAAGGAGCCCCCCGAGAGCGAGCCCGCACGCTCCCCCCTTGGCCGGGCGGGCCATCGGGCCCCACCGGCGATGGGTGGGCGATCGGGGAGCCGTGCACCCCTCCCAGGAGGAGGAGGAGGAGGAGGAGGAGGAGGAGGAGGAGAAGAAGGAGGAGGAGGAGGAGGAGGAGGAGGGGGAGGAGGAGGAGGAGGAGGAGGAGGAGGAGGAGGAGGCGACAGTCCCGTGAAGGAGGCAGCTCCGGGGAGGTACCCGCGGGGACGACTCAGGACTGAAGGCCTGCCTGAGCCGTGACCGATGCGGCCGGATGAGGACGGCAGGGGGTCGATGCGTCCGCTCCTGAGCCTACCGTGCATGTGCAAGCGTGAGGTCGGGCACGTCCTCCTGCAGGGCGGATCTGGGAAAGAAAATGAAAAACATCCCACATGTCTATACATATGTAAATGCGAAATCAATCAGACACAGAAGGAACATCGTCCCCAAACTACCGTGTGACTCGTCTTGAATCTTCCTCCTGTGGAGGGACGTGCCCGACTTCCTGCAAGCCCTGGCCTGCGGCCTCCCCCCCCCCCCGAGCGGCGGGGCTCTCCGGGCGCGGCGCGGCGCGGCCCTTGCGCGGCACGGCCTCCCGAAGTCCGCCTCCGCCGGGGCGCGGGCCGGGATGGGGAACGGATCCGTGCATCTCTGGCGCGGGTGGGGGGCACGAGCACGATGCTGCTTCCCCGGGCGCCTTTCCCTCCATGGAGGACGTGGCTGTCGGCCCGTGTCACAAGGATGCGCGATCAGGATGCAAGGGCCTTGGACGCCCTCGTCGAAGCTTTTCAAAACGGGCGCGGCCAAAGAAAGTGGCCAAGGCTGGGCCGAGGAGGCAAGGATGTGAAGGCACGCACCTTTAGGAAGGTTGCCTATACTCACTATGCGGGTCGACTGCAGCTGTCGAGCCCCGCTCGGATAAAAAACAGTCGTCAGGAAAATTAGAGGCCTGGACAACCTCCACCGACGGCACCATCCGTCCAAGGGACAACTTCGTGTTTGAGTCCGCGAGAGCCACGGGTGTGCACGGTGCCGATCTTGGTCACCGTCCGTCTTGGTCGCTGTCGATCCGTGGCTCGCGAAGCGGACACGGCTGGCATGGACCATGGTGGAGATCGGCGTCGACAAGATCCCGCGACATCTTGGCCATGGTCAGCATGGTTCTTCCCTCGAGCTTGGGCGCCAGATCCACTGGTCTGGGAAGGTACCCGCCCGAAGCACGAACCCAGTGCCGCCAGATTTTGCGACGGAGCGCGTGCGCCGATTTAGCGTGTGTGTGTGTGTATGTGTGTGTGTGTGTCGTGTGTACGTGTGTACGTGTGTACGTGTGTCGTGTGTACGTGTGTCGTGTGTACGTGTGTGTGTGTGTGTGTGTGTCCTGGCAGCGCTCGTTGGTGCGCCCTGGCCTTGGCCCCGGCTGCTGCCTCAACACCCGCTGCCTCGGTTGGCCGCTCTGGCCTGCTCTGCGCCAGCACTCTTTCGCGTCCGAGCGCTCTCCCCTCCCCCCCCCCGCGTGGCCGCCCTCTCCTGCCCCCTCCCTCCTGCACGCCGTGTCATCCGCCTCTCGGCTGCCCCGAAGAGCCGCGCGCCGGAGCCGACCGCCTCTGCCCAGCCGCCGGCGAGACAAAGGCAGGCGCGCGTGCGAGCGTGTCTATTTTGTATGGTGGCGGGGAGCTGCCCCCCCGAGGCGCAGGGCCAGTGCCGCCCCGCTGTGGCGACGCACTCGCGCCGAACTCGCGCTGGGAGCGGGACCCGTCGCTCCCCCACGGCGCCCTGATCGACTCGTCGAGGTCCGCCCTGCCTCGACCCGCGGGCCCGGGCGGGGGAATCCAGGAGGGGCCGAAGCTCCCCCACATCCCTCCCCTCCCTCCCACGCGCGCCCCTCTCTCAGTCTCCTCCCGGGCACATCCCTCGCCCCTCCCTCCCTCCCTCCCTCTCGCCAGCCTCGCCCCGTCCCTCTCTCCCTTCATCTCCCTTCCTCCCTCTCACCTCCCTTCCCCCCCGTCGCACACGTTCGACTCGTCGTCGACGTCATCCTCCCCTTCCGCCTTCCATCTTCGTCATCCTACCAGGTGCTCCTATTCCTCTTCCTCTGTCCGATCATTATCACCCTCCGCCGCCTGCTCTTCCGCCGCCTCACCCTGGGCCTCATTCCCTCCGCTTCTGTAGCCGAACTCACTGAACGCCATGTGGCTCAAGGCCTTTCTGTTGGGAGGGCTTCGAGCCCCAAGGCAGAAACGGATACCGCTGGCCCGCGGCAACAATAAACGGTTATGAGCTCCTCTTGGAACGCCGTCTCTTTAATCATGTACCCTTCAGAGGGGATTTCCGAACTCAGCCTTCATTCGTCCCCGCCAACATGGCAGGACAACCAGATCAACGCAGGATGACATTGACAAAACTGTGGATGTCCCAGTGAGCCCAAACAGTTTGGGGAGCCTCCCGGACTCCGTTCCTCCAGAACGCGTCTTCTCGAGACCGATCGAACCTCGATCCTCGATCGAACGAATGCGTACCGACCAGAACCCCGAGGAGAATCCAGCTGTGGCGACGAGGAGCCCCCCCCAGGAAGCACAGAGACAGCGAAAAGCCCACTCGAGACAACAGATCCATCGGGCGCGTCCAAGAGCACGAGGCACATGCGCGGACGCAGGGGGGAGCAGGGGGCGCATGGGAACGGGAAGAGGCGCAATGAAATCTCGGGAGATATCATGGCCCTGGCCATGATATTCGACGATGGCCCCCTTGATGCCCACTCGCCCTGGGCGGTCTTCGGCGGTCTTCTGGCGGTCTTCTGGCGGTCTTCGGCGGTCTTCGGCGATCCTCTGACGGTCTTCTGACAGCCTTCGGCGGTGTTCGTCGGCTTCTGGCGGTCTTCGGCGGTTGTCGGCTCGAAAGCTGGACGATTGCGGTTCACAAAGGGTGCATGATCCAACACCTAAGACATCCCCCCGTAGCCATCACCCCGCTTTAGCCTCAGGTCGGGCATGTCCTCCTACAAACGGATTGGAGAAGAAAAACGAAACATATCTTAAAATACTCAAACATAGTCCAACAATAACGGAAAAATCGTCTCCGGACTATTTCTTGACTAATTTCGGATACTCCTCCTGTAGAAGGACATGCCCGACGTACGTAAGTCGACTTCACGCAAGAGCGACCCTGGGTGAGAGTGACCTTTGCTGCGCGGCGTTTTGGGGGCCGCGGGGGGACCAACACACGAGCGCGCAAGACGCGGCTACCGCACCGCGTTCGGCGATCGGGGGACCCCCCTTGGGCCCGCACCAAAGGTCACTCCGGCGAAAGGTCACTCTTGCGTACCGCCGAGCAGGCTCGGCCGCCTCTGGATCCTCCGGCCTCGCTCCTCCCCCTCCCTCGCCTTCCGTGGGCGCTGGGCGCTTCGAGCTCGGCGAGCTCCCGAGCAGCGTCGGCAGCCCCCGCCTCGGCTGACGCGGCTGGGCGCGCCGGCGCGTGCGCCGCTCGCGGTCCGCACGGCCCGCCGGGCCGAAATTGTCCCCTAACACTTGCCTCAGGTCGGGCGTGCCCCCCTACAGAGGGACTGTGGACGAACAATTAAAAATCGATCAAAAAACATAGTGAAGCATTCGTCCCCCGATTATTTTTTGACTGTTTTTGGATGTCCCACCTGTAGAGGGACAGGCCCGACGTAAGACCTGCCATCGCTGGGGCGCCGCTGGCCCGTGCTTTGTGGTCCGCTTCGCGCGGCGTCGTTCGGCAAGGGGTCCAGGGTGCTCCGCGAGTAGACGAGCGCGTTCCGCTACTCGCAAAGTGACTGCTGCAAATGGCCTGGATCCCCGCGGGGAATCTACGAGAAATTACATCGAAGCAGACATGTCTTTTGGTGGGGACTTTTGCGAGCAGGCACTTTGCGAGTGGTCAAACGCGCTCGGCGAGCGAGGGTCCAGATCCTGGCGCCTGGAGTCGCCGAGGAAGCAGGCACGCGCACGAGCCACGCCGGAGAGAAGCAGCTCGATCCGCGGCCTGCCCTCGAAGGGTGCGGTGTGGCCGTAGGGGGCTGCATTCGACGTGCAAGACCTGCCTGCAGCGTCTACGTGTGACCGACTTCTCCCCTCCTTCCTCCTCCTCCTCCTCCTCCTCCTCCTCCTCCTCCTCCTTTCCTCCCCCTCCTCCTCGCCGAGGTGTGAAGACAACCGGAGGAGGGCGGCCCTGCCGGTGCGCACTGGGGGCGCGACTGGTCCGGGGACGCGGGCTGCAGGTGCATCAGCTCCAGCTTGCGCCTCGGGAGTTCTGTGCCTTCCCGCCCTTACCGGCCCTGGCCAGCCGATCTGGGGCCCAGCCCACGCTCAGGAGGCAACTTCTGGAAGGCCTTCGCAGAAACGATGCAGGGCTACTCTGCCCGACAAGGGAGCACTGAGCTGGACTAGACCAAATCGAGCCCAGGATTGAGCTGGATTGAGCAGGATGGAACGGGATCGGCGCGACCCAACAGGATTGCGAAGCCAAATCAGGCCCGTGTTCGACCAGAGATACACCGGCGCCGATTCCGACTCTGGCCTGCACAGAACTGCACCCCGACCGGGCCTTCTCCGCAGACCTTGAGAGCCGTTGCCCCGAGGACGGGAAGACTGCAGGACGGTGCAGACTCACGACCGCGACCCCGGGCACAGCACACCACCGACCTCCTGCGGCACCTCCTCGAGCCGGGTCGACGCGGAAGGCCCCGGGAGCCCGCTCCGGGGCGAACGCACGCGGGTGCGACCAGATTGGAGAGAACGCATCTCGTGGACGCTTTGCTTGGGAGAACACCCTGGACACGTCATCACCGCCCCCCAAACAAGAGCACTCACAGTCAACCCGTGCAGCAGGGATGCGCGCCAAGGATGTAAGGGCCTTGGACGCCGGTTTCGAAGCTGTTCGAGCGGCGCGCGGCCAACGAAAGTGGCCGAGGATGGACCGAGGAGGCACGGATGCAAGGGTACCCTTGGCAAGGTTGTCCATCCGTACTATGCGGGTTGACTGTAGCGCCCGCGGAGACCCGGCCCTCGCCCCACCCGCCCTGGACGCCAACCTCTGGGAGGGGGAGGGCCTCGAGCCGGGGAGGGGGCCCTGAACTGCAAGGGGGGGCAGCGGCTTCGAACCGGGGCCCCCCCCGTCCCCCCGCGACTTGCGAAAGGAGGTGGGAGAAAGTTCGAGCTGGGCCCCCCCCCCCGCAGCCCCCCCCGCTTCCCACCCAGCCCGAGCACGGCGTGCGAGCAAGCTCGAGCAAGCGTGCGAGCGAGCGAACGGGTTGGGCGGTTCGGTTCGGGTCGTGTGGCCGGAATATCAAATGCATGATGCTCGCTTGCTCGCTCGCAAGGCTGGAGCAAGCATGCGAGCGAGCGCGCAAAGGAGGGGGTCGGTCCTCTCGTTCCCGCGCTCGCTCGAGCAAGCGAGCGAGAGAGTCGGGCGCGTCGGGTCATGAAATGAATGGTGGTCGCTTGCTCGCTCATTCGTTAGCTGGAGCAAGCATCCGAGCCAGGTTGGGCGGGCGGGACATAAAAAGCGGTGTTCGCTTGCTCGCTCGCTCGCTCGAACAAGCGAGCGAGCGAGCGAGCGAGGGAAGGCAGGGGTCCTCTCGCTCGGTCGCTAGCTGAAGCAAGTGAGGGTCGGTTCGAGCGGGCGGGATATTAAAAATGCATGGTGCTCGCTTGCTCGCTCGCTCCCTCGCTCATTCGAGCAAGCGAGAGAGCGAGCGAGTCCGGCGGATCAGGTCGGGCGGGACATCAAATCCATGGTGCTCACTCGCTCGCTCGCTCGAGCAAGCGAGCGAGCGAGCGAGCGAGAGAGGGAAAGGATCGATCGTCGTTGTCGGCGGCGTCGTCGTCGGCGTCTGCGTCGCCGTCATCGTCGCGGTCGCCGTCGTCGTCGTCGTCGTCGCCGCCGCCGCCGCCGCCGCCGTCGTCGTCGTCGTCGTCGTCGTCGTCGTCGTCGTCGGCGTCGTCGTCGTCGTCATTATCGTCGTCGTGGTCTTCGTAATCGTCACCGTCGACATCGTCGTCGGCGTCACCGTCACCGTCGTCCTCGCCGTCGTCGTCTCCGTCGTCGTCGTCGTCGCGGTCGTGGTCGTCGTTTTCCATCGGCGAAGGCTAAGGCTGGGAGGAGACGGTTCGACTCTACCCCTTGCAATTTCCAAAGGGGAGGGGGGGGCCTGTTTGATCCCCCCCCCTTGAGAGAGGAGGAGCCCTCCTCAGTTCGAACATCCTCCCTCCTTGCAACCCGAGGCCGGGCCATTGTGGATCATGCGTTCTGCCACACGATACTCGGGCGGTCTCACACAACATAGTCCTCCTCAACGTCTTCTTCCTCATGCTTCCCCTTCCTCCGGCATCGTGTCACAGACGAGGGTATGTTGCAGGAGGGTACCTTGACAGTCTGAGGGTATCTTGGAGGACAGCCGATCGACAGGAAACATAAGACCTCCCGAGCATGGTCCCTGGAGTTCCAGCCCTTTGCCATGAGGCGTGGGATTGAACTTTCGAGGGCCATGCTTGCGGGTGGCTCTTTTTTGTTTTGTTTTTCTCTCTCTCTCTTTCTCTCTTCTCTCTCTCCCTTTCTCTCTGATCGTTCTTTCTTTCTCTCTCTCTCTCTCTCTCGCTCTCTATCTCTCTCTCTCTCTCCCTCTCTCTCCCTCTTCCCAATTTCACATTCCTCTCCCTCTTCCCAATTTCACATTCGCGCAAAGCCCAGCCAATGAAATCCACATGGGACGCCATGCGAACGCCTCCGCTGGGGCCATTGCTAGGACTCCTTATTACGGATGCCTGTAACAAGGGCCCGTCGGAACCATTATTCTTAATGACGGTTCCTGTGCAGGGCTTTGTGTAGTACACTTGGATGTGTAAGGCTGCCTGCATCCAGGGACCCTGAAGGAGGTTCCCTTTAGTGAGGGATCCGAATTGCGGGTGCCTTTGGTAAGCAAACAATCAACAACAAGGATGCCTTCAGCAAGGGGTCTTCAGTACGGACCCTTTCAGTGAGGAGTCCCTAGTAGGATTGTCTCTGGTCAGGGTCCCCTGAATTCAATTTTTTACGACAAAGAACTGTTGCTCGTGCTTCTCTTGGCACGGGTTACTTAGGACGGCTGCCTCTAATACTGGGGCCCCTAGTACGGATCCATGGCGTGTGGCGCCCTCAGTGTGGACGCCGTTCGTGAAGATAACGCTTTCTTAGTGCTACACCTTTGGCACGCATTTCTCGACACGTCGACACGGGTGCCATCATTATCATACGCATGCATTTGCATGCCTTTTGTGTTGCCACAGGGGGCCTTCGTGGGAATCTCTTTCGTTTGGAAGCCCGTCGTGCGGAGGCATGCGTTAAGCATGCGTTTACCTGGGAGCCTTGTGTTATCTCGCAACCCTTATTAGAAGATCTCTTAGTGAGGGGTCCTTTGTGGGGATGCCTGTCGTACGGATCTCCAAGGTAAGGACCCCTGTAGTAAGGAGTCGCTCTTCACGCTCGCTTTGCTAAGGGTGCTTTGAGCAAGGATGCCTTTCGTGACAGATACTAACTGCACTTTGTTGACTGTGTGGCCTAATACAGCCCCTGTCGTGCGAGACCCCACGGTAAATGCCCCTGCACGAAAGACTGCGTGCTACTTCTTATAGTACGGGTTCCTTAAGGAGAACGCCATCAATGAGGAATCCGGATAACGGGGCCCTTTAGTGAGAGGTCCTCAGACGGAAAGAACTGAGAGGAAGGTCAGGCTGCTCTCCCACACAACCCACAACGCAGAGGGTGTACGCGGAAGGAGGACATGGTTGTATCTTTTTGAGCTTTTCTCTCTCTCTCTCTCTCTCTTTCTCCCCCCCTCCCCCTTTCACATTCACGCAGAGACCAGACAACGAAACCTCTACGGGACGCCATGCGAACGCCTCCACTAGGGCCATCGCTAGAGATCGTTGGCACGGGTGCTTGTAGTACAGGGCCCTTAGTAAGCATTCCGCTTAGTGCGTGGTCCTTGCTGAGGACAAGGTTCGCATCCATTCATTCGCAATGATGCCTGCAACAAGGGAACCTCACGGAGGACCCTTTTTAGTTAGGAGATCATCGCGAGGATGCTTTCGGCAAGCAATCGTTAGTAAGGATGCCTGTAGTAAGAGATTCTTACTAAAGACCCATTGAATGAGGAACCCTTCGTGAGGAGTCCATCATGCACATTGGCTTCCCAATTATACAACTTGATATGTCTGGCCGAATGCCTGCATCATTTGACCCGTGGAAGTAAACACGGAGGGAAGGGGAGGTGGGTAGAGGGAGGAGGGGGGAGGGAGGTGGTAGAGGAAGGAGGGAGGGGGAGGTGGTACAGCGAGGAAGGGAGGAGGAGGGAGGAGGACGAGGAGGGGGAGGTGGTAGAGGGAGGCGGAGGTGGTAGAGGGAGGAGGGAGGAGGAGGAGGAGGGAGAGGAGGAGGAGGTGGTGGTGTGAGTGTGTGTGTGTGTGTTGAGTGCGGGGGGGGGGTAACACAACGAATAACTTGTTGACCCCCACCAACATATCTTGCCTCCCCCCACACCCAACACCACACCACCACCGCCACTGGACTGGGACTGTGGGGACACTCTACAGCGTTCTAGCACTTCGGACTGACCCACAACCCACACACAATGGCGGGATGGGTGGAAGGCTCCAGATCTTAGCTCCAGTAAGCAGGAGTTCACCGATAAGAATTCGGATTGAACGTACAGATACACCGAGGAAGACGCGGAAGAGACCTGGAGTCGGGCAAATGTTCGCCAGAATTCCGGGCGAAAAAAAACGACAGGCAAGAGGAAGGAGCACTGCAATGCGCTCAAACACTCAGAAATGGCGCTCCTGCTTCAACCACTCTCGAAATTCAGTGGTCACCCTCCTTCCCCCCTCCCCACACTCACGCACACATACACACACATACACGTTTCCCTCACATAGCGACAAGAAACACCACTGTCGCGACAGGCGCGCTCCGCGTTAATCGCCAAAACCCTTTTGACGCACCCCTGAAGCAAGGAACCGGTTCAAAAAGCACACTCCCCCACCTACACACACAAACACACATTCGGGAACACAATGCGGGATGAGGGAGAAAAGTAGGAAGGAGAAGAATTACAAGAAGGCGTTCCTTCACGCCCGCATCCGCAACGACAAAGGACATCAGGAGAAGAAGAGAGCCAATGTTCGCATTCATTGCCCGCCACCCTCAGACACGAGGGTTCCTTCATCACAAATGATGTATACTCCCCCGCCTCTTACGGTCCCAGAATGAGCAATCACGCGAAACACACACACACACACACACACACACACACACACACACACACACACACACACACACACACACACACACACACACACACACACACACACACGTCAGCACAAGAAGCACCAAAAAGCAGCAAACACTTAGAAGCCCCGTGAAAACCAAACGCTTCTCCCGACAACTCCCCAGAAGGTCCAGACGAATCGCCCTGAAGCTGGCTCCACGGGAGCTGCTCCAACCCCAACATCCTGCCGAACGCAACGCCTGACAAAGAAAGTACCCGCCCCCGCGTTTAAAACAAAAACGAACAACCCAACGGAGCAACAACGAACACGAACACGAAAAACAATACGAAGGCAAACACCAAACTAAACAGCGTTGTGGTGGGTCCTTGTAGACAGAGGCATGAGGGGGAGGCCGAGGAATGATGACGAACTGGGGATGCTGAGGAATGAGGAGGAGGCTGAGGAACAAAGGAAAAGGGCTGCGGACAGAGGAAAGGGTAGAGGACCGAAGAGGAGGCTGTGGAATGCGGAGGAGCCTAAGGAATCAAGGGGGCGCGGCCGAAGGACGAGGAAGAAGCTGAGGAGTGAGGCGGAGCAAGCTGACCAAAAGAAGGAGCTGATGAATCCGGAAATGGCTGAAACATGAGAAGACGGCTGTGGAAGGCAGAGTCCGTGCAGGAAGCATGGTCCGAAGAGCCCTCGCTTCGGCAGTGCGCCACAATCGGATGAATCATGCCACCAGGAAGCCCCAAAGAGGCCCCAAGAGGCCCGCAAGAGGCTACCATGAGCCCCCCACAACGACTGGACTGTACAGGGAATGGACGCGCAACCCTCGAAACGAGAGGAATCCCGCACGCGGCATCACTGAGCCCAGCCTTGCGTAACGTGCACCTGTTGAAAGCCTGAAAGACGCCTCGTCACGTCCCTTGCAAGACGCCCGTCAGACGCCTCGCAGGGGCGACTGTCAGACGCCTGTAAGACGCCCCGAAGAGGCTCCTGGAAGACGCCTTTAAGACGCCTTTAGCCTGTAAGACGCCTCGCAGAGGCGCCTTTAAGAAGACACGTGCAAGACGCCTCGCAGGGGTGCCTGTAATACGCCTCGCAGAGGCGCCGCGCAGAGGTGCATGTAAGACGCCTCGCAGGGACGCCTGCAAGGCAACTGTCAGGCTCCTTGCACAGGCACCTGCAAGACGCCTCGCAGAGGCGCCGCGCAGAGCCGCTCAAAAGGCGCCTCGCAGACGCCTCGCAGAGACGCCTGCACGACGCCCCGCAGGGGCGCCTGTAAGGCGCCTCGCACAGGCGCCTGCAAGACGCTTGCAAGGCGCCTCGCAGAGGCAACTGCTAGACGCCAGTAAGCGCCTCGCAAGTGCGTCCCCAAGAGCGGCTCGCAGAACTGCCTGTAAGACGTCTCGAAGAAGCGCCTGCAAGACGCCTCGCAGAGACGCCTGTGAGACGTGTCGCAGAGATCTGTTCATCTAGGTTGTCTGGAAGTAGTAACAAAGTGGTTGAAAGTTGTGCAAAAGTGGTTGCGATCTGTTCTAGTCGGTTGTACTTTCTTCCATTGCCAGGGCCCCCCCACAGAACGCGCTCCTTCAAAACTCGCAACGCCAATATTCACGGATACGGTTGTTAGTCGTTCGGCTCCTGAAGGCTCTGACAGAGAGCTGGGGAGGAGTACTGTCTTCAATTCGGTAGCCCTGGGGTGCAAGATACAATCGAGTTATGTCCGCAAACACGCGGATCCAGAACATCAGCAATTTCGCCGAATGCCTCACGGAGATGCCCGAAACGAAAACAAATCCCAAGTGAAGAACGCGTAAAAAAACAAAAAGCATAACACCGATTCTGCTCTCGAGCATGACCGAGACCGGCTTTTGAGGAGGAGGAGGAGGAGGAGGAGGAGGAGGAGGAGGAGGAGGAGATGGAGGAGGAGGAGGGGAGGGCCCCCCAGAGCCCAAGAGTGGCCAAACACCCGCCGTCGCGCCCTCTTTCTCTGGCGCCGAGCGAAGAGGTCTGGGGAGGCTGCCGTGGCACGGGAGCGGCCGTGCACCCCCCCCCCAGCGGCTGGAAGCTGGCCCCCTGAGACGCAGAATGCAACACGCGCCTGGTGTGGGGCCACATCCTCACCCGGGCGGCAAGCTTGGAGTCCAAGAATTCTGAGGTTATCATGGCGCCAGGCCCAGCCTTCTACAGTTGTGGGTACCGCGCTCGAGAATATCGCCTTCAATGAGGCTCCCTGCGGGGCCACGGAACGTGTGCAAGGTGTGCCGAAGTGGGCCTGGTAGCGCATGGGGGCCATGCCGCTGGGTCTTTCGGTGGCGCTCCCTATGGGGCCACGCAACGTGTGAGGGTTGTGCCGAGATGGACGCATGTGAGCTGTGCCAGGGGAGCCGTCGGTGGAGCTCTGGGGCCACGAAACGTTTGAAGGGTGTGCCGAGATGGGTGGCGAACCGCATGCGAAACCCCCTCTCATGAGGCTTCGCTGGAGCTCCAATTGGGGCCACGACGCGTGTGAGGGGTGTGGAAAACAATATGCAAAACCCCCTCCTGGGGGCTTCGGTGGAGCTCACTATGGGGCCACGAAGCGTGTGAGGGGTGTGCAGAACCATACGCAAAACCGTCTCCTGAAAACTTCAGTGGGGTCCCCTATGAGGCCACGAAACGTGTGAGCGTGGAGAGATACTAGCAAAACCGCCTCCTGGGGGCTTCGGTGGAGCTCCCATTGGGGCCACACATCGGGTGAGGGAAATGGAGAATTACATGCAAAATCCCCTTTTGGGGGTTCGGTGGAGCTCCCAATGGGGCCAACAAACTTATGAAGGGCATGGAAGACTACATGCAAAACCTGGTTCCTCAGGCCTTCGGTGGAACTCCCCATGAGACCACGCAACCGTGAGGGGCATGGAGAACCATGCAAAACTCGCTCCCAGGGGCTTGGGTGGGGCTCCCTGCGGGGCCACGAAGCGTGTAAGGAGCGGGGAGAACCACATGCAAAACCACCTCCTGGGGGCTTCGGTGGAGCTCCAGATGGGGCCACAAAACGTATAGGGGGTGTGCCGACACAGGCATGCGGAGTGCAGCGGCAGAGATGACACAAGGGAGGGAGGAGGAGGAGGAGGAGGAGGAGGAGGAGGAGGAGGAGGAGGAGGAAGAAGAGCAGGAGGAGGAGGAGGAGGAGGAGGAGGAGGAGGCGGAGGAGGAGGAGAGAGGAGAAGAGAGGAGGCGCTGGGCGCTGTCATCCCACAACGAGGACCCGACACCACAGGATGGTAAGGAAACACTTGGGGGCAAAGAGTCATACATGTTTGAGTGGGCTAGGGTCGCCGGGACCACGTCTCTCGACATCGCGCGAAGCACAGCACGCAGCACACACTGAAACGCCGCAGCTCTGTAGCCGCCGCAGCCGCTGCAGCCGAGGGTGGCAAGATCTTGCATGTTTTGCCGCCGGGAGCGCTGTCCCCCCTCTGAGAGAGGACGGGGGGGATCCTCACTTTCTGAACCTGGGCCACGTCTGCGAGAACGTGCCCGCCACCGAGCATATACTGTGGTAGTGCTGGGAGCCAACGCAACCTAGTAGAAGTACAGCCGTCGTGCTACCAAAAAGAAGCGCCGGACGTGGCAGGCAGGAGCCTTCCTCGCCACGGCGAGCCTCGGCCACGACAGAGGCTCCCCGACCCAGATCTGCAGTCAACCCGTGTCATGCTGATGCACGATAAGGATGCAAGAGCCCTTGAAGGCGGTTCCGAAGCTTGTCGACGGGGGGCGCGGCGAGCGAAAGTGGCCAAGGATGGGCCGAGGAGTCAAGGATGCAAGGGTAGCCTCAGGAAAATCGCCCATCCTTACTGTGCGGGTCGACTGTTAGAAACGGCCCGAAAACCAGAAGCCCTCCCGAGACCAAAGGTGGCCCATGTCTTCGAATCCTGACTGCATGCCTGGGTGAGACCGACCAACCCAGCGGCGGGCGCCTCCGCAACGCTTCGCGCAGGCCCCCGCCGGCGACGGGGCCCCTGCCGCCGAGGGGGGCCCAGTCGCCGCGGGGCTCGTGCGCAGCAGGGCCCGCGGGAGAGTCCTCCTCGCCCGCGCACAGCATCCTGAAGCGCTCCACCGTTGTCAGGGGCTCCTGCGGGTGGGCCAGGGCGGCGGAGAAGGAGGAGCACCGGAACCCCAATGATCACCACGCGGGGGAGACGCAGGACTCGGGCCAGGGGGTCGCCTCGGCCCGACAGGAGCATGAAAATGGCGCGACCCAATCTGAAATTTGACGCGGGCTCTCGCTGCAGACATCCCACGAAAATTGGGCCGTCAAAACTCAAAACGCGAACGTCAAAAAACGCAGGCGAAACCGAGTTCCAGAGTACCCGAGTCGTACGGTCCCCCGAACCCTGAACACATCTTTCGGAAGTGCGCGCGGATTTCTTGAAGCGGCACGGGACCCCCCTCCCCGGCGTCCGAAACACCGCCAGGGTGGGGCCCAGAGAAAATCCAAGAGATCCAGGCGAGCCTCCGAAAGCTCATGTTTGCGCTTGTGCCAATCGCCTTCTTCGAATCCATCGATGTGCGTGGCCTTGCCTTGCGTTCTGTTTCCCCCTTCCTCCCTCCCCTGCCCTCTGCGTTGGCCCGCCCTCCTTGTGAACGTTTTCAAATTCGACATTTCGACATTGGGCGGAGGGGGCGGGGGGGGGGGGCGGGTCTGGCCCTGGACCTCTACTGCGTGTGACCGATTGCAATAATGAGGGCGCCCCGCGGGGTAGACTCCACCTGCCCGAAACAGGAGCCCCAAACAGCAAAGATCTACTCTGCAGGGGGGGGGGGGACACGAGGGCCCGCGCCGACTGGCAAAACAGTGAACAAGAAAACGATCACGTACCTCTCGCCCCCTTGCTGGGCCGATTTCCACAACTACTACCATAGGTAGGAGAGGTAGATGAAGGAGGAGAGGGAGGAGGAGGAGGAGGAGGAGGAGAAGGAGGAGGAGGAGGAGGAGGAGGAGGAGGAGGAGGTGGAGGACCATCACATGGCTAACGTGGGGAGGCTAAAGGTTGGCCGGCCCGACCCTAACCCAAAACCTCGCGGCACTCGGCCACCCACGTTCTCCACAACGGCCGCGGGTGAACAACGTGGCCGCTGAGACGGCAGGACGCTGCCGACGCTGAACGAGGGCGATGGGCCCAGATGTGGCGTTTACACATCTAGCCTCAGCGGCACCTCATCTCCGCCGCCCGCGAAGGGCAAGGGGGGGGGGGCTGAGCAACGGTCGAGGTGGACTGGCCAGACAAGTCCACCCCCGTGCTCAGACCCCACGGGGGGCGGCCCCCTGTGCAACTGTCGCCGCAGAGGGGGCCAGCCAGCGCTCCACGGTCGTGCAACAGGGCATCGCCAAACGGCACGCCGCAGTGAAAAGGACAGCCAGCACCGCCAGACTGACGGAACCCCACGGCCCGAGTTCCAGGGCTGGCTGCGCGACACCAGCTTCGCCGGCCAGGACCACACAACGACCTCATATCGAACCTGCAGCGAGCTTAGGCTACCGCGGAGAAGGTGCGGGCGAGCGAAAGTCGGGGCGGACTGGCTGAACCAAGTTCGCCCCCGCGCCCAGCACACCGCAAGAGGCCCTCTGTGCAACTGTCGCCGCGGAGGGAGAGCACTCCAGCGCGCCTTCCCCCTGAGACGGGGTGCCTGACGCGCGCGCGGAAGCGCGCGCACACGCGCGCACGCGCACAATGATGTCACGAGGCGACGCCAGGGCGACGAGGCACCGCCAACCCCTGATGTAAGTAACGCCAGGACGGTGGCAGGCCTCGCCCCTGGTGTGGCCCTATCTGGACTCTTGAGCTACAAACAGCCTGTTGACTTTGGCCCGCCGCTGGTGCTGAAAATGGCCGATGATGGACCAGAGCATCACTCCGCTGGAGTCGAACCTGCCTCAGCTAGGGCCTAGCAGTAGAAAAGCTAGAGGGGCGCTGGCGTTTTGAAAACCTTGTTAGCGCGGGAGCCGCGCTTAGGATGGGCGAGTTCCCTCGCCCTCGACAGTTGATCGCGCGCATTGCTGGACTCTGGCACGCAGGGGCATCGGCTGGAAAGACGGCCCCTGGCCCCCGTCTCCGAGCAGGATCCGCGCGCAAAGCGCGCACTGAGCGCGCTCTCATAGAGCTCGCACTCGAAAAGAATTAGGCGGTGTCCACGAGGGTTTTGCGCTAGCGAGGCCAGGCCAGCACGAAATCCTGGGCGTCGCTCGCTGATCCTACGGTTCGATTAATGCAAGTTCTTGGCACTGGCGCGGCAGTGGGCGCGCGCGTGCTTTCCGTGAAGATGCCCCCACCGATGGGCCACGCCAGAATTGCCTTGGGGAGCGGAAGAGGGGGGGGGGGGCGCGGAGGGGGGGGGGGCGGCCCCAGGGCCCCAGGCGCAAGCAGCGGAGGCTGCCCCCGTCGGTGGGCTGCTAGGGACGGGCTCGGCAAGGGCTTTCTTCCCAGGGCGAGGAGTGGCCAGAGCGGGCCACTTGGGAAGGGCCTGGGCCACGTAAAACAGGAAACGACGCAACAAGCTCCGATCGGATTTGCCCAGCTCGTTTTCGGCCTCCGAGGGCCTGTTGAAATGAGAAGTGACAGCTCGCTTGGCTGCTTTGCCCGCAGCGTCGTTACCTTTGGCATGGTTATAAGCGTCGTTATCGTTAAAATCTTCCGAAAGGTCCCGATGGGCTTTAGCTTCGACGAGACAGCTCTCAGGCAACGCGACGGCATGGGCCATCAGGACCTTGAGCACTGCGTGGATGGTCATTCTAGGATATCCTGGATTCTTGTATAACTGCAAAGCCCCAACGTAGCCCGCCTGGACTTGTTCGATGAGCGGAGAGATGGAGCAAGCAGCATCAGTGGTCAGCATCTCTGCAACACCAGACTCTTGCGGAAAGTCCGAGCCCACTTGGCCAGACAAAATCGCACAGGGTTCTCCTCTTTTCATAGAATATTGACCAGCCCGCCGTCTGGTGGGCAGGGCGCAGGGAAGGGTCGCAAACTTCCGTCAACATGCACCTTCACAGCAAAAGCTTCTTCTAGAAACATATTGGCGCCCTGATACCAGAACTGGCAATTGTCCAATCCAGTTCCGGGAGGGGCCCTGGTACAGAAGTCGGTTCTCCTGCTGATATCCGAACTTCATTAGCGGGCCTCCGTCATGATGCAAGATGAGCTCGAGTTCATCGGTCGAGAACGCACGGTCTCTCTGGCAGGGGCAGCTGGCATTCGAATGAACGGTGGCGGAGGCAATCCGACGAGGCGCCACACTCGCAGGTACAATCTATGGGGTATCCCGCCTCTTTGGCTCTGCCCTTGGTGCAGCACCCGTGAGTTAAAACAAGTTAAGGGGCTCCCTCGCTCTGTTTGCTAAGGGTTGGGCTCTTTAAAACGCTGGTCGCTATGCTGTAATCTAGGATGGCGTCTGGGTGGCCCAGTTTGTCGGCTGCTTGCTGGCGCAGCTTGCGAATCGCAGCTTTCTGCGCGAGTTTCCGGACAAGCGCAGGCGAAAACAAGTTAACTGATACTGCGCGCCTTCCTTTGGCGGGAAAACTTAAAGCGAAACCAGAGCCCAGCCGATGCGATGCAAGGATAGCAGCATGGCTCCGAGAGGCCCGCGCGCGCTGCCCCAACGAGTGGCGGCCTGGCCCATGAGGGCCTCACCGCGGGAACGGAGGGCCAACAAGGAAGCAAGACTTTGGACTGCACTGGTGGCGGCTGTCCACGCAATGAAATGCCACGCTAGAGCAGGTCCCAGAGCTAGCTTCCAGGTTGGGTGGCCCACGAGGAGCAATCTGAGGAGGAGGAGGAGGAGGAGGAGGAGGAGGAGGAGGAGGAGGGGGAGGAGGAGGAGGGAGGAGGAGGAGGAGGAGGAGGAGGAGGAGGAGGAGGAGGAGGAGGAGGAGGAGGAGGAGGAGTCGCGAGCCCATAGGACGACGCGCCGAGTACGATTCGGGAAGGGCAGGAGCGGTGGGAAAAGACAAGCGAGCGCAATCGAGCACAGAAAACCAGCGGGCCCCATGGCACTGTAAGCCCAGCCGAAGCATCACGGCAGCGACAGGAGGCCCCACGAAAAGAATCCATAATCGGCCAAGCCGAACTCCCGGGACACGAAACGGGCTTCGAAGGAAAACTCGAGACATATGGATTAGATGGATAACAAGCCTAGGCGCTGGACAACATCGTCCATGACCAACAGCCTGCGAGGGAGGGGGGGGGGGGGGGCGGCCCCCCCTTAGGATGGGCGCCCTTCATAAAACTGCCCCCCCTCCACTTGCGCAGGAGACCCCCTCGAAGGCAGCCTCGGGATCACAAGTCCAGGAGAGCTGCGCGCGTGCCGACCTGGCCGAGAATGCCCCGCACTTACTACATCCCACAACGCCCCCAGAAATATACAAAACATGCCCTCTCGCCGAATGTGGCGGGGCCTCCCCCGTCTTCGGCAGGGGCGGCGTGGAAAGGTCTGCGTTCGCCAGCGACGGCGGGACGCCTCTCGCGGCCCGCTTCGCGCCTCGCGCCGTCGGCGCCGAGACCGCGCCCACGAGGGCCTCCGAAAAGCGCGCCCTATTTCGCGGCTCGAAGCACGGCGGAGGGGGGGGGGGGGCCGGAGAAGCAGGAGGGGTAGCAGGAGCGAAACGCGGGTCGACTTCAACAGGACCAACGGGAAATGGCGGGGGGTCGGCCGGAGGACGCGCCACAACAACCCCAGGACAAGTGGAAGTCGAGGAGGGGAGGTCGCACGACGAGAACGGAGGCGAAGGAGGAGGGGTGACCCGAGGCGTAACCCTACGAGGCCAAAACTCATTATCCTGCAGCTGCTCCCCCTGATTCGTCGTCCTCCAGACGACGACGCGACGCTCGACGCTCCCCCCGCTCCCTGAATTTCGCCACCTTCCGAATTTCGAATCGCCCTCGGGTCAGGCCTGGGCAGCTCGCTGGAAGGCCCCAGGGCCGATCGCTCCAAGCCGCGAGACCTGGTGGCCCTCTCGGTCTCCAGGTCCCCGCCCCTCGGACGCTTCCTCGGCCCCAGGACCTGCCGGGCCGGGTCGGGTCTGGCAGCGGCCCCGACGGAACCGCCCAAGACCCGCCAGAGAGCGAGCCGAGCGGG